TAGGCGAAATAACATCATGCAACAGAAATTTCATTACATTCACCAAAACCTTAGATATTAGTTTGTAGCTAACATTACACAGAGGTAGGGTGGTAATCAGAAATTCGTCGTGGCTGTTTAGACTTAGCAAGCAGAGTAATCAGAGTCTCATTCAAAGCCCTCGACGAGGCATGATTATCCAATACCTGTAAACAACTACTAACCACATCCGTACCCACAACCTCCCAAAAGTTCATGTAAAAAGACCCCGGAAGACCATCCGGTCCTGGAGCCTTTGCTGAGTGTATTTGTTTGTTTGAGAGCCAGTACAACTTCCTCCGCCGTAAATGGCTGGAGTAATCGATGATTCATACTATCCGTGACACAACCATGCACATCAGCCAAAACCCTCTGTAAAGCCTGTTCAGAAGGGTTTGAGGAAGCAAAAATATGGGTAAAATAATCAGAAATAATACCTTGAATTTCCGCATAGCCCTGTTTCCACCTTCCAGAGGCGTCTTCTAACCCATCAATAGAGTTGACCCGCTGTCGAAGAGAAGTGCAGTTATGAAACCACTTCGCACTCTTTTAAATTCAGTTTTGAGTTGCTACGTTTATTGGTAACGTGGTAAAGAATATATTTCTTTTTAATTTTAAATTTCAATATTATTAAATAGTATCTTTATAGAAAAAGGTTATAATTCATGTTATTATTTTTTTAACATTTCACGTTGATTGCATATGATTTACTTAATCAAATAATAATAACAGAAGAAAAAAGAAGGAATGGCGAAGGAAAAAGCAGTATAGAGCTTAAACTGTGATGATTAATAATTAATTGGGCATTAAGTTAAAGAACTTAAATTCTTTGCAGATGTTATTTGACACCTGTTGGTCAGACATGAAAATTAAAATATTACAAAAATGATAAAGGTCAATGTGTTTGGATCAAGTTAATATTAAAATAACATAAAGTACCTCCTTTAGAGTAATGGGAGATGTGTTTGTGGTTGTACTTTAAACTTTCGATAGAATAATTCAATCAATCCCCCAATGAGATCGATAGGAGTTTTATATATGTTCCACATTTCAAATTATTCTCATACTAATTATTGGTTTTATACTTTAGTTCTAAATTGTGCTACTTTATTCTATTTTTTTAACCTTTCAAACATTAAACATTTTGAGCTATGGATTTAGATTTTGAATTC